TGTGCATTATATAAGACTTATTCTACTTCTAATTATTATTATGGTTAGAATTTGAGTTATTTGTTGAGCAAAGAAAGAGGAAACAAACAGAATAGAGGTTGAGGAGAGGATGATAGAAGGAGAGTGAAGGAGACAGACATGGCGGTGTGTGAAGGGCAGCGGTCACCGTGGGGTGTTCACCTCAGGACAGAGTGACTTTGAAGGGTGTTAATGCCGACTGGGCAGAAGCACGACAGTTTGCACACGTGCAAACATGCTTGCTGCAGAGAGCCCAGACTGGTTTTACTGCTGATGCTGGCATTTCTCTGCAGAAAACCCCCCCTCGCCCTCTTCCCTCCACCTCTTCACCTCCTTTCATGCCCTCTTTTCTCTCACTTCCTCTAAATTCCCACTTCTCTCTTTTATTTTGGAATTAGTTCCTCTCCCCTTCATTGTTGAGCCTTTATGGGCATATTGTGAGCAACCGTTGGCGAGGGCGACCGTAGCGCTTCATTACAGCAAAGGTCACCGTCCTACTTTGCAACATTTATGACCCATAATAAGCAGAATTTTTAAACTTTATGTCCTCTTCCTCTGTGGTCCTGATGGTTGAAGGGGCACAAAAAGATAAAGTAGCCTAGAAAGCTCTCTGAGCAGAATTCAATTTACATTTTTTTTTTTTTTATCAAATAATCAAAAATGATGAAAACTTTCCGGATGTTATTCTTACACTTCAATAAAGCCATTAGGAGGATATGACTTTTAGATTAAATGTCCGTTTAAGAGCTTCTGAATGTTTCAACAGGGAGTTGATGATGAAACTAGTTTTGATAGAAACATATTGATCAGCTGCACGTCTGTTTGACGGGAGGGAGACCCGAGCTCCTATGAGTCGTGCTGGGGAAAGTCGTGTTTCTCTGCCAATAAATGGGAGGCAGATTTACTGTATGGAAATCAATAAGCTCATTTACTCCAACTCATCAGCAGGCTTCCGAGAAACATCATACATGCAAGATACATTAGATAAGTGGATCAGAGGCACAGAGGCAGGAAGAAGAGTGGATGAGTTTATCTTATATGGACATTTTGTTCAAAGCATGAAAGAAAAAGGGTTTTAAATTAAAAAGCTTACTGTAAAAAACAAGTCTTATGAATTAATATAGGGGAAAGTAATTATCTGTAACATTAGCTGACTGATTACGGCTCGTGAGCCAACCCTCCGGAAACATCTTTACCAGTTTTGCATATTTAGACACAGAAATTTTTCGCCCGACCTTCTTTGCAGTATATCCTAAGCTGCAGTGAGCGCATCTGAGAACACATTTTTAAGTCCTGCTACAGATTTTCAATTGGATACAAATCTGCACTTTGGCTAAATAGCTAACAGATGAAGCGGTTTTAAACTAAAGTACTCAGATGTTTCTGCGGTTGTATGTTTGTGGTCCAGTCGCAAGTTTTTTAAAGCTTCTAGCAGGTCTTCTTACTGTGTCAACTTGTATTTGGCTCCATCCATCTTTACTTCAAACATGATGGCCTGTTGTGTTGAGGGTGATGAGCTATTTTATTTTTTTTTATGCCAAACTGTGTTTCACATGTAGGGTAAAAATCCACAATATGGTATTTGGCTAATTGTAAACATTTAAGTTAAAGAAATTTCCTAAGAATTTTGTCTCTTCACATTATTATTATTATTTTTTTGCAATCTCAAGTATATAGATTTTTTAACCTGAGATGTGGATCTCTGCAGTTTCTATGGAGGCACCACATGGTTCTTAACTTCTCACTGATCATGTCTTTGTAGGTAGGTTGGCAGCTCTGCCATCTACTTTTGATTTTACAAATGTACTCTATCCCACCCCATCAAACAGGTGGACTAATTAGATGATTACTAATGAGAACGGGGTTTTATTGTGGGGGTACCTGGGTGAAGGGATGTTAGTACAAATGTATGCTACACTTGTCAGCTTTACAGATCAATTATTAAACACTTTTCCCCCCTTCTTAAAATTATATGAACTGTTAAGGTGAAACAAATAGTTCAAGCAATTTGCATTGAATTAGAGGCTAACTGTGTATATCTTTTCATCACAGTTGCTTTTGTACAGTTTATACTGAATAATTGATAAATAGCATGTTAATTCATATCAGATAAAAAAAAAACCCCAAAAATTATGGTTTACAATCTTAATCACATAAAATCTGATCATAACTTGGTGTTTTTTTCATCTGCACTGTGTAGAAAGAGGCTGTTTGGAGTCTGGCAAGTTGGATTTCACTGCATTTGTTTAAAAGCACAAAAACATACTGAGGCAGTGTAAACTGAACTGCAAACCCTGTTCTTTTTCCTCAAGCACAGCCACCAATGTTAAACTGTACACATGTGCATGGATTAGAGTTCAACAAGTTACTGCTACCTATAGGCACGGCGACAGCGCCCTATGAATCGCTTTACCTATCTGGTCATTAATGATGCAAACTGATGTGTTCACTTGTTAATGTCCTGTTTCAGAACCAGTTCACCCAAACTTTGATTGAACAGGCGGATTCACATTTAAAAACATTATATTTTTATATATACAAGAGTGGCATGAAGGGTTAGATTAATAGCAGCCTTTTGTTATTGGTATTTTGCTTGTTAAGATATTTTGCCCAATAGTAGTGTCACATAGAGAGAGAGAAGGAGAAAAGGAGAAGAATGAGGAGAATGTGGATTTATAGTAACTGATTTCATAAATAGGTTATTTACAGATAAGCTTGCCATCACATTAGTTTCTAACAATATGCAGAATACATGGTTCAGTTTGTTTTAGCCAAATTCTCAAAGCTGTAAACTTCATTTTTATCACCAAATTTGATAGAGATTTTTAAGTAATCCCTCCAAATAAACCACTGTTTCTTGTTTTTCTAACTATACTGCAGTAACTGGAATCCGACAGCTCTTGGGCTTTCTGGAACTTCTCTGACAATCCGACCTGGTAATGGAGTCTCTTGCACGTCCACCCCTGGAAAGATTGGCAGTTGTCGCAATTAAACAATAAGCTCCAAATGGCCTTATAAACCTTGCCAGTTCGATAGTCAGCCACTACTACTACAGTTCAGTTTTGATTTGTTCTCCTCTTACTGTTAAGATCTGTTGCCTATGAAACGTTCAGCTTGCATAAACATGGCCACATTTGCAGATAACTAATGACATTCCAGTTTTTAAATCATTTTGCAAACACCTGCTTAAGACCATAGACATTTTTTATTAAGTACCCTCTTCATACATAAAACCCTCAAATTAAAAGCTTCATGAATATAAATGATGTGTAATGGTGCTCAAAGCTCCTAAATAAGCACTTTTTAAGCTTTAGAATGCCATACACAATTTCCAGCACCTCCTGAAAGTCTGGGTTAAGTTGGAGATGGTTAGTATTTTTCATGCTAGAGATACCAACGGATTAGGAGTTAACAAGCCATGGGACAAGGGGGAGTGGCGGCCTAGTGGTTAGGGCACAGAGCTTTGAATCCTGAGGTTCTGAGTTCGAGCCCCACTCCCAAAGACTGCCACTCTGGCTCCCTGATCAAAGACCCTTAACCCCAAACCACTCACCGGGTGCTGCACAATAGCAGCCCACTGCTCCCAAAGGGGATGGGTTAAATGAAGAGAGTTAATTTCTCCATTGCGAGATCAATAAAGTTAAATTTGTATTTCTATCTTTTCAAATTTGTATAAATTCTGGATTGCTAAGGTTTAAATCCAGCGCAAAGATTAAACAGTAATAGCAAAATATAAAGTAATTGCACCCACTGGTGACATAACTTGAATAACATTCAAGTCATTAATAATCTCAGTGCTCGCTTAAAAAGCGTGGTAATGTCTTTGTGTAATGTATGAGCAGCAGAAGGACAGTCAGCATGACAAGCATGCCTCTGTTAAGAAAGCCTTGCAGACTTCCTGTCACAGCATTCAAAATGGACCTCTGTGCACCAAGAGTCATTTATGACAAAGCCCCTCTGTAATAAACTGTATGCATCATCTCTCTGCACAATAGCAGTGCATTCAATGCACATTTACAGTTTGCACAGATAAAAGGCCAACTATGAGGGGAAGAAACGTCATGCATGACGCGAGGAGAGCAAAAGTGTGTCGAATTCTGTCACCAACTTCCTCTTCACCGTGATTCATATCTCTGTAGGCCAGCGTAATACCAACAGAGTGTTATTTACACAGTAGTCCTCAACAGCTGGCTGTAAACTGACACTAATCAGAAGCACATTTCTTCCAACAAATGTTTTTAGTATTTTCCATGTATCAAACTTCCTTACTTGTCCAGGAAGAATGATTCCATGTGCTTTAAGAAGATTTCTTAGAGGAAAATTACTTCAAGTCAAAGGATTTCTCCCTCAGCATATGGGCCACAATTCGGAGCAGACAAGGTTTTACCTCCAGTGGTGAAACCAGACAGCTGTGGAGCTGAAGCAGCTGCTGATGCTACCAGAGTTACTGCAGCTTGGCTGGTCTCAACAAGATCAGATAATTGATGAGTCCAAAAAGCAAAAGTTCTTTCTTTTTTTTTTTTTTTGGGTAGTTATAATTAATTTTGTTTAGCAGAGGAATGTGAAGAAGCATTACTCAATAACACCTAAAATAGTTTTCAACTCTTAAAGGAGGCTGCAAGACTAACCTGGGGGGGGAGAAGCTGCAGTACAACGACAACAACACCAAACATTCATCCACAGCTACAGTGATTGCTTTGAAGAAAATATTACCTTAAATGGTTTTATTACAAAAATATACACAGCTTGTAAGGCTGTTCTTCTACAATACTACGTAAGCAATGTTGAAGTTTCCCTTAACCTCCATTTACATCAAAATAAATGAAAGCTTTCATAAAATTCATTTTTGATATCTCTGGTTAAAAATATTTGAGATGGTTCCATTAATCCTCCTGCAGCTTCCTCGTGTTTTATTTAACTTTCTTGTATGAATGCTTAGGAAAAAAAACACAAAAATGAATCAAAGCTTTTGTTTTTTTTACCTGTTTTCCTCAAAGGAAAGTCGTCCTTTGAGTCGAACGCTCCCAGCACTGGATGGGTGTACGCTGACAGTGTTGTTTGGGGGGGTGAGCTCTGATCCAAAGAGCTATGCTGAGTTTTCCTACAAAAAATAAAAAAATAATCTATTTTTTAAATGATCTACGGTACATTATACAAAATATAACTATTTTTTTTAGTACTATTACACTCATGCACACACACCTACATACAAAAGACAACTTCTATCTCCCCTTTTTTTTAGGCCAGGAAGTATAAAGACATGGGAGACTGTGAGCAGCTAGGGTGAGAAGGTGAAAATAAAAAGAGACTATGAAGAAAGAAAGAGGGACTGATTCACCTTAAATGAAGCTTCAATTTCCTGACTCGGCTGTATGACAGAGGTGCAGGATGGGAGGAGAAATGAAGAGAGGATACACCAGAAAGTGAGGAGAATCCCAACAGGGTGAAAAAAAACAGACAACTTCATGGAGCTAATGAGAAAGAACTGTTTATTGATATTTGACTTGAAATCTTTGACTAAATCATCTTTGACTAATATCTTCTTTTACGGGCAAAAATGACACCAGGGCCTTTTTTTCCTGACTGCCCACTTCCAACGTTCACCCCAGACAGATCCAGCTGTCAATTATCGCCAACTGGCATGCAGAAAAAGGCAAGACATTTCAGCATTTACACTGTTGTTGAAAATCAAAGATTAACGAAGACGTTGGCAATTTGATGTGCACACAAAAGCACGCTGCTGACAGGCGCCTACACATCGGGGGTTCAGAACACCACACTGGTTACTGTGTTTCTGAAGCATGAAGATAAGAGATTTTTATCTTGGTCTTCGTTAGATTTTATGTTTGATAGTTCTCCTAATGTAGTTTTTTTTCCCTTGCTCAAAAAAACAAATGATGACTCACAGACTGAACTATATTAATTGTCTGAATTTTGAGCACTTAGGAGTTTCAGGTAAATAACCTTAGCCACAAAATTGTTCTTTCTGTTCTAGTTTTTAAAGCTAAAACACTTTAGGCTGAAACAACCAGATAAAAAATATATATATATAGTTGCGCAAGATAAAATTTGAGCAAATTTTACATTGCTTAAATAAATGTAAATACATTTCAATATAACTGAAATACCCTTTATTATTTAGTAACTCTGCAATATGAACATATAGAAAGATACAAGACTACAAAATACTAAAAAAGAAACAAACAATAATGATTCCAACCTTCATGTTATTAAGAAATAGTGCCAAACTATCTCTGTACAAAACAGAATAGTGTCAGAATAGTGGGATTTTGAAAATAAAACACCATCCACTGTAAAATATTGGTGGCACTATTATTGCATGGAGAAGATTTTCTCTACTACGGATCAGAGAGGTTTTCAGAGTTGATGAAAATATGGATGGATCAAAGGTAAAGACTGGAGACTAAGTTCAATATCCAGGTCAAATCTTAAATTCAGAATATAAAACTTGAAATCTAAATTTAAATAGACATTATCCATCCAGTTTGGCTGAGCTTCATCTATTTAAAATCAACAGCAATGGGCAAATTTTTGAGTCTTGCAAAACTCGATAGAGAAAAACCCTCGAAAGACAATTCTAGAAGAAAGGGGATCTCTTTTGCTTCTGTAAAAAAAAAAAAAAATAATTCTGGCTGACTGTTGAACCTAAAAGTTGGGGTTGCTGCAGCACTATAAGTAATGCTGTATTCTCTTGACCAAAAGAGGATACAGCATTACGGATTCTTCCAGAATTGCATCGTCACTCATTCTCACCTTTGCTTTTTGCAAAGGATGTGGCTCGGTTTGGGTCCAAATCTGAGGTAGCTGGTTGAAAAAAGTTAGCACTCAATTGTCTGATGCTATGTTTCTTGTTTCTACTCGATCCGTCCCGGAAGCACAATCCATACCATCAGCTCATATTGCGCTTCCAGATATACATCCAAGTCACTTTAATTTAGTAAAAAAAGACCTAAATTACATTAAATTAAATAGTAAGCGTACTAAACTATAGTGTGTTAAAGGTTAATAATATATTTCATAAGAAAACAATTTAAAATCCTTTCTGTTTTATCAATAGTCTCTGCCGATCTGCACCGGAAATAGGATCCTACGCTACTTCCGGGAGCTAACTTTGTCAGTTTTGGATTTAAACATAAATCTAGTCCTTTTGAGTTTTAGGTTTTCCTTTAGGTTAACATTATGTTATATAGTTCATACTCTAAAGAAAGAAACAAATAATATGCAGATAAACATTGTTTAATCATATTTTGCGGGACTGCTCTGAGCATGTCCCATGATGACGTCAGAGAAGCAGTTTAACGGAGAAAATTTAAAAAGCATCAAAATTGTCTCAGAAATGTCATGAAACATTTTTTTAAGATGTGTATAAGCATTCTTTACTGACTAAAGGATATAAATAACTAATTTTAGTACCATATTTACAGTATTTATGGTCACCTGGATGTATATCTGGTTGTGCATGCACAAATGAGCTGATGGTACGGATTAGAGACTGACACAGGAGTGGATTTTCAATCCTGTCCCGTCCCACTCCCACAGAAAAAAAAATTGTGTCCCGTCCAGATCCCGGGCCAGAGTAGAAATCTAAATCCTGTCCCGTCCCACTCCTGGTGAAATTAGTCCCACTCCCATCCCGCTCCCATTCAGAATGACTCCCGCTCCTGCGGCACTCCCATTCTTGTTTTTTTTTTTTTTGAGCGCGGGTGAAAAACTCAGAGCGGCAGCACTGTTGGTTTTTGGGTCGTGTAGTTTTTTTTGACTCGCATTATAGTGTAGGCTTCAAGGAAAAAAACTACAAAATGGCGGCGCCAGTACTAGATTTTTTTCTTTTTATTTTATTTAATTTTTTGGCATCGATCCTAGTTTTTTTTTAGTTACTATTGGTTTGCTCCCACTCCCGTCTGCTCCCGTTAATGTTTAATCCTGTACCGTCCCAATCATGTGATCGTTACTAATACTGACTCCCATCCCATGGGAATCCCACGGGAATCCCCTGACCTGTGGGATTCCCAAAAAAATGTCAGTCTCTAGTACGGATCATGCTTCCGGGATGGATCGGGTAGTGACATTTCTTAACCAGAAAAGATGAACTGCTCCCTCTGGAACACCAGTTGTGGTGAAGAAAGGAATAAAATATAAACTCCTAATTTACCTCTCTGCTTTGACCTCTAGTCCTGAGATATTTATCACTACCAAAAACACAATCCTTTTGAATCAAGCAAATAAGGCTATCTCATTCTGTAAGGTGGCTGAACAGAACCTTAGCCGTCAGCTAAGTCGTCCGAAATCAGAGCAGAGCTGTCACACCAACATATTAAAAGAAGTTACTTCAGGTGTTTTCAGTATCTGATCGAGATCTCTCCAAGCATCTTCTGTTGGAGTTTCTGTGAGCGTGCTTGAGTGGGAGACCCAGAGCTTAACGCAAAGGATGAGCTGGAGAGTTTTAACTATGGAGACAGATGATCGATCATCTTCTACAATTTGGCTTTATATGCTTTTGTTTCTAAACTGCTTTAATTCAGCGTCAAGTTACTGTAAGAGTTTTCCCACATAGCATGCATTGTTCAAAATAACACCTACTTCTTCACAGAATTAAAAAAGAAAAAAAAAAAACAAGGTCATCCAAACAAATCAAAGGCATCCCCTGGGGATTCCTGGAGAGGTGGCCAGTCACACTTACCCATACCAGTAGCGTGGGTCACTGGGCAGACAGTGGTTTAGGTTTCGCTGAGCCAGGGTTTTCTTCTTGTTCAGGACAAACTCCTGAAGTCGCATCTTTACCTCTGTGCTGGCCACAGCACCTGGACAGAGAGTGGAAGATAAGCAAGACATAGAAAAAGCATCTGAGTAAATATATCTGACCATTACTGCAGAGCAGAAGTTAAATTGGGTTAAATAGCAGGAATACGATTCCGAAACCAACAAATTTAGCCAAGATTACCCAATGAGCAGGGGGAAATACTTTGGAAAAGCTACTGAATTATACCTCTGACTCAGTGTTTTATGCAAACTTTAAGGTTTTAATAGCTTTCATCCCCACTAAACACAGATCAGGGACTACGTTCCCATCCTGTGCTCCCCTCTTTTTCCACTCTTATTTCACAGCTTTACAAACAAATCATCCAGGAAGTGAGAGACGAGGAGGAAAAGCAGAGATACAGGAAGAGGAAATCTCAGAGAGAAGCAGAAAAAGCTCAAAAAGGGCTGCCTTTATGGGAAAATGTCAGTGGGAGTGACGAGAGGTGATGTGTCAGGCTTGAGAGAGGAAGTGGTGAATTCAGCATGTGAAAGTGACAAGGGCTAATATATGTTCTCTAAATCACGCTGCAGCTGTAAGTGCTGACATCCCAATACGTGCGCCTCCCCACTGAAGCAAATTGGCTTTTATGAGGCTGCCTTCTATGCAATTTAGTGCAGTACTTAACAAAGCTTCTCCTGTTTACAACCCAAAGCTCTTTCCATAGACGTCAAACAGTATGTTCCCTTTGCCCAGAGCAGAGTAGAGACTTTACTGGCAAAATCTATTAACTGCAGTCTACTCAAAATATTAAATAACACATCTCTCCTACTGGAAATCACGGCAGCACCAAAGACTATCATTTAGACATCAACTTCTGATCACTTTTGCATGTAAATCCAAATACAGCATGCACACTCTGCAGCCATGTCTTGTACAAATAAGAATTATTTTGGTTTTATTGATTTGGCACAATTGACTGAGCAAACCTTGAAATATTAAGAAATCCATTCCCAGGATACAGTTTGTAACATGAAAGAACTGCTGACTAAAATAACTTAAATGATATGCAAAAATAATACAAATTTGAATTTAATTTATTAATTGATTTATTTGACAAGGAACATTAATTAGCAACGCTGTAATTGACCCAGCAAAGCCAAAACACCATTTATCATCTGCTGCCTCTGGACCGATCTTAGAATGATATAAAAAATATAAAATAATACAAAAAGAAGATTACTATGCTACAATATGAATATGAAAAGCAATAAAATAAATAAAACTCTTTGAACCCCGTTGATAAATATAGTGTACAGCTTTTCCAATATTGCAGATATCCGGTTAGAAAAATAATGAACTGAAACAAACAGATCCAAACTTAATTGAAGTGAATAAAACTCAGTAAATCGTTATGCATTCAATCGAAATTCACTTAATTCACTAAACTGAACTCAAATGCACTAAAAAGAATCACAATCAATAAAAAAAACCCTGAAATTAACAGTGATGAAAAATATTTTAGGTAATGTGAGATGAATAGATGCAGGTGATGAAGCAGACTGAAGATGTTTTATCATTATCTCCCTTTTATGTCCTCTTTCTTCCATCTTTTCTCCTTTTTTTCCCCTTCAGTTGTGCTTTTCTGTTCTACTTACATTAAAGTGTCCATATAATCTCAAAAACTCCCTGCACAATTATAATAAAGCTATTTATATGCATAAATCAAGCGGGAACACTATGGCAATAGCCGTACTGCTCCACTTGTGAAAGTAAAATCTGTTGGGCTCTTTTTGGCATCAAGACAATTATTCTTATTGCCACATCGCCAGACAGGACACTGTTTAAAAAACAAAATAAAAAACGTGAGATGAATAGTACAGGTCTATTCAACATGAAATGGAAACTGCCTGAATTGAACTCAAAAGGAAAATTGTTTTAAGGGAACAATCTCTTTGATAGAAAACCTCAACATCTGACATATTTTTGATCTTCTTAAATGAAGCCTGTTCTATGGAGCTGTGAAATGAAGGACAATTGTTTATTTATTTCAGATATTTTCCTGAGTGCCATCTTCAGCAGAAGTATAGCACTGACCGCACATAATTCACCGACAAAAGACGACATGGTCTTACCAAACCTAGTGTGCTTACTAAAACATATGCACCAGTAAGTGGCTGCACTAAAAGTCTAAACACAAGATGAAGTATATTTCCATTAATGCATTATAAAAATCAAAGCAACATTAGTAGGTTTTAACACTGTAGCAGTTTGAGAGTTACAACATAATGATAAAAAAAGGTTTAACTCAAAATGCTTTTTAAAATGCGCCCTAATTTTGAACAATAACACTGAGGACATGCTTGCCTCTTCAGTGTCTAGCTCCTGTAGGTTTTTCCCTGGCTGTGTCGTTCTGATCCTCCCTGTGGTGAATGTGTGAGGTCAGACTGCTCTGACTACTGTGCCGTAGATACAGGTGCTGTGACAGAGGGGGCTGAAGGAGCCAAGCTGTCTGACACATGTTGTGATCACATAGTATTTCAGCCCACATATTAGACGGAGGAAAGCATACATTGGATCATTCGCTTCCGCCTTTACTCAAGTCTCCAAAATCCTTTATTTTGATCACATTTTCCAGAGCTGAAACTTACTTTCTTGTCCCCTTTCCTTGTGTTTAAGCTGCTGGAGTTTGTGTTCTCGCTGCTGCTTCTCCAGCTGCTGCTCATGACGTTGCTGCTCCATCTTCCTGTGATGCTCCAACAGCTCTTGTTGATGCTTGAGGGCCAGCAGGTCCTGTTGACTCTGGAGTGGAGAGGCACAAATGGGTTACAGGAGGATAAAAGAAGATCATGGATTAACTGGCAGCAAAGTTTAAAGCCGAAACAACAGAAATGAAGAAAAGGGAAGGAGCAGTAATGAAAACAGTATATTACAAAGACTCAGAAAAACATATTGTAGTTATTTTCAGCCTAAACTGATCAGATATCTTGCCTGCACGCCTGTGTGGTCACCCTGAACCCAAAGGGAGTTTTTTTCTACTATAAATTTCACTCAGAGAGAGTTTATGGGGCCAATGTTCTTCTATAACGCCAACAGATCAAATTACATCAGAAAACCCACTTTCTTAGGCAAGGTGCTGACTACAGTGTTGCCATACCATTGCTGGAGTACTCCCACCTCCCCCTCTGCCCATGCACATCCCCTCCCATTCTATCCCCTCACCTTAATATGTTCCTGCAGTTGGGCTTCATGTTGTCGGGACAGCTGCTCATGTTGCCTGTGAAACTCGGCGATCAGTAGCTGCCTCTGGAGCTCCTGCTTGTGCTTCAGAGCCACCAGTTCCTGTTGCAGGTGCTGGTCCTGACGTCCTGCAGGGGATATTAAACACCACATCATGTCCAAGAGCAACAAGAAGGGTGAGCATTCAGTAAAATCAGCAAGGAGATCCTGACGACTTACCAATAATTGGTCCGTTGCCTGGCTCAGATGATGCAGGGCAGGCAGTGGAGGGTGCTGGCGTGGAGTGGGGGTGGGGCTGGGACACCAGGCCGAAGGGAGGCTGCTGGTGGTGGTGGTGAGAGTGGTCTACAATGCGCAGGTCCATGGGAAGGATGGCTGAGGTGGCAGAGGGAACCTGCGAGGGGAGCGCTGCTGTGCCCACGTCCACTAAAAAAATAAGAGAACCAGATTTAGCAACTGACACTTGAACTAAATCCAAGAAGCGAACTAAAGAAGCAGCTTTAGCCGTAGCAATCTTTGCAGCTGAGTAATCACTTGTAAGGTTGGCCAACACTTGAGATTTAAATGTGTCAGATTTGTACACATTAGATAAGAGCATTAGATAACACCAATACATAAAATACATGAGGAGCAAATATGTTCAGCAGCTTTAACTGAAGGAATTAGCAAACATTTATGCAGGCTTAGTCTTAATAACTCAACACTGATCATGTGTGACAGAAAGAAAACTCTTTTCATGTTTGTAAATGTAAGTAAGACGCCTCTTTGAACTGTGAGTGCAACAGCTTTAAGAGGATGTACACAATGATATACTGAATATATGACTTAGATACCTATAGTTCTTGATTTTTTTTATAGATTACAGCATTAAAAACAAATAACATGCATGAGCAGATTAAAATAACTCCAGAAGCCTGCTGCTTAAAATATTACTACTCAGCAAAACAGAAATAACAATCTGCAGAGTAAGTAAAGCAAAAATAAAACTAGAAAAAAAAAGGAAATAAGTTGTGATTCAAATCACATTTAAAATGTGATCAGTAGAGATACTGGAAAAGCAACATTAGGTTTAATATAAACAGGGAAAACAAATTGTATACGAGATAAATTATCAGAAAAAACTGACAAAACAAGACTGCAGAAAACTAAATGGATAAAAACTAGAGGACTAAAACCCAGTACTGTACAGTGATATATAAAACTACTAAAAGATATGGAGAAATGTGAAAGTGAATGTTTTATTCAGCTATAAAACATGAAAAGCAAAAGTAATACAGTATTTTCACATTTGGTCATATATGCAGTGATATTAATGGAAATTGAGGGAAAAAAAGGAAGAAATACTGAAACACCAAATGAGGAGTGACCTTTAAAGAAAAACAGTTCATTTACAAAACTGAAGCACCACAATGACAACTTTGTGTTTTTTTCAGAAACATCCAAAAGGTCAAACCTTTTAGGAATAGAAAATTTGTGGTTTGTCAAACATATCAGGACTTTACAAAACTCAAATGACAGAAACTGAGAAACAATAAAGAAAAACAAAGAAGAAGTCTGGCACAGAATAAAGAATTAGAATAAGTTTGTGTTCTCTCCCTTCTTAGACGTTCAATCTGCCACATTTAATCTGCTTTATAGGAATAATCCATAAAAACAGCGATAGCAGGGGCAAACTACAGGAATGATGCAATCACTCAAACATGTAAAACAGCAGCTTAAAATGCTGCGTAACAACACAGCATTAGAAAAACCATTTAATAAACAAAATCTTTGCAAAGTTCAAAGCCTTGACCTCCACACTACCTCCTCTCTTTCTAACTAGACACTGCTATTATTACTGTGACAAGTGGGATGTATAAATAGAAGAGCTTATGTAGATGGTTTATATACAAAGACAGCACAAACTGGAGTTAGGAGCCCAAAGTGAGAGTAATCCTTTTTCATTCCCACACGTTAAGTCTTGACCTCCTGTCAGTGTTTCTTAATCAATATTTGCACCATGAGGAACCAGCATCCAGCGTGCCAAGCCCACTGCCAGTGATCAATACCTCCAAACCAGTGCAAAGTATCCAGAGCCTATCAGGCACATCTTGCTGTCCCCAGTGGCCAATGGGGTTGCAAATTGAGGAGCAGCTAACTTGCTGAGGTAGCCAATGACATCTTTGGTACCAGGCAGGTTTTTAGTGTTTAAGGGAAACTTGACACCACCCAACGGGACAGCGGGGAGAGAAGAAAGGGTGTGGCCAGGCCAGACATGGTGGAGCTTCTCTGATGCATATCGCTCTGCAGGTTAGAACGTGTCTGAGGGCTGGACATTAGGAGGAGTTGTTCTTCAGTAAAAGAAATGTGCAGAAGGCATTTGTTCTCCAGACTTCACTGCTAGATCACAGACATCTAAAGATGCTGGGCTTCCAAATGTTAGTTAGGAAAAAAGAAAACAAATATCTTGAAGTTTTATTTAACTGTTTGCACCTCTGAATAACACATGAACATTTATATTTCCCCTCTAAAAAACCCCAAAGGAAGAGAATTAAACTATTGTGATTTAAAGTGAGTTCAAATAGCCCATCATGCGTTCAGTGAATAATGCATTATTTTCAGTTCACCACGTCTCACATTCATTGTGTACACCAACTGTCCATGTGGTTATTTACTCCACAGGCCATAAAGTGTTCACTACATTAGTATTAAACGTCAAACCAAACAAATAAAACTATGTTTGCTCATAGGCTGAGGGCCAATATGTGCTCTACAGTCATTGTTGTTATTGAAAGAGTTGCATATGATAATAAAACTCCAGTCAGTGGAAGCTTTGCAGATGTGCAGCTCATTGACAGAACTGCAGACGGGACCTCAGCATAAAGACTATGATGGATTTGGGATGGGGGGGAATTACCCAAACCAGCAACTGCTGCTCAGAGGAAAAGCAATACATGGTTTCAGACCCATGATAGCCACATAAAAAAGTAAAAATAAAAATACAGATAAACCTTTGGCTAGTTGCTTATTTTAGATACGAAGTCCCACGTTGTCAACACAAAGATAAGCCTGATGAGAAGTCTTTATCAAATGACTCCATCTATACAGTGGGGCAACACAAGAACCACTTCCTTTTTTTAATCCAAAATAAGAATTTTGAAAGAAGATCCAGGTTGTCAGCACACACTTGCATGTCTGGGGCTCGAAATTACTAAGTTACATCATCACACAGCTTTAGGTGTGGAAAGCAATTAGACATCATTTCACAGAAGAAATATTGTGAAAAAAAATATTGTGTTGTTTCAAAATTGTTTGGTCTTGACACACCCTGACTTGGTATGCACATCAGAAACTGTCTAAATAGATTATTTTTTTTCAGATTTTGACAATAGTTCTTGGTAATAATTACTGGAAAAGGTTCCCTAAACATGCAAAATGATATATAAATCTATAAATCTAAGCAAGTTATCACTTCTAGGGGGTTATGGTCAAGCTAGAGTAGTAGAAAAGGTGGACTTTAGAATAGAATAAGATGAAAATCCAAATGAAAGAATATAAGTCAAGGCAAGAATGACAACAAATGCATAAAAGAATGCAAGTAAAAATATTAAAATAGACTCTACAAGGAAATAAAAAAAGTAAAAAAATAAATTTAGGGTTAGTTTGAGATATTATAGGTATATTAACCTCTTCTTGAATAACAGTCTGTTTAGAGACAAGAGAAACTTTCTCTAATTGTTGCTAATTTGTAACATGTATGTGAATGTGAGTAAATTTAGCTCTCTTCCACTTGCTCATTTTCTTTTTTTAATCATTTTTTTATTATTATTATTTTTTTTATTTTATTTTATTTTTTTTTGTGCTAATTTTCACTGCCATCCCATAAGGCAAGAGTTAAAACAGAAAATATAGGTGACAACTCAAACATCAGCTTATAAAAATGTAAAACTTGACTTCCTGTCAAAAGCAGCGATATGAATTCAATTTGCATACAGCAGAAAACAACCTCGGAGATTACATGGGAGTGTTTACCTGCTGCCTGTAAATGCCAGCCTGTGCTTGGCATTCTTCTTACATGTTAGCAAATTATTGATGGCTGCAAATGAATCTGCACTGCCAGTTTACCAAACTCTACACACCAATATAGGCTGTAACTTTTAACAAGTGGCTCCACAAAACAAGGCAAACAGAGATGAACACACTCTTATGTACAGTTGTGCTTTAAAGTTTACATAGTCTACCATTATAGAAAATGATAAATCCACTCTGCATTTAACCCACCCCCTTGGGGAGCAAAAATTAATAATAATGAATACAATTTTACTAAATGATTATGTTGCAATATAGAATATTCATTTTGAATTTTTGCTTAAAAGAAATTAAAGTACCTTGCTCGTGTACATTGAACCTGTCAACAGGTGCAAAAGTCTGACTAAACATTACAGAAAATGCCTCGTTACAGTTACTGCATCAAAGTGTTGCTCAAGAGATTTTTTTCAATGTCATGTCATGATTTCCATTTTTTTATTATTAGTATTTATGATTATCTTTTCCAATTTAAATCTATTTTACTGGCAGCTGATTTTTTTCTGTCTTTAATGGAAGGGCATGTAAACAACTGTATGTTGCCACAGGAATCCGTCACGACATCCCTTTCATCTTTGAGCTTAAAACTTTGTTATAATTCATTATTTAAATATGATATTGATCCTGAAATACAAATATGTACAGGTCCCTTGATAGAGGGACCGGACTATCTTTGCATCCAGTTAAAAATAAGTGATCATGACTAAATCATGATCATGACTAAATGACCAATCATGTAATTTATGTTTGAAAGCATGAGATCCTAACCTTAATGTTCTTTTACAAACCCAATAGGGCAAATAAAAAAAGAAAATACTATTTGCAAGCAGAACAGGGGTCTGGTTTGCAGTGCTGACATTAAGTCAGACCTGTTTCTGATGCATGCTGGTCCCTTGCAGGGCTGCCCTCTGTCAGCAATCCTGTTCATAACCTTTATGGACAGGATTTATAGACCCAGAGGGGGTCTGGTTCGGGAACAGGTGGATTTCGTCCCTCTTTTCAGATGACGTGGTTCTGCTGGCTCCTTTCTGCCAAGACCAACAGCATCTGTAGAGGTGGTTTGCAGCAGAGTGCTAAGCAGTCAGGATGAAGATCAGCTCCTTAAAGTCAAAGTCTATGGTTCTGAACTGGGACTGGAGAGTATTACTGGGTCCTGTTTGTGAATGAGGCAAGAAATGAGCTGGAGATCTGCAGATGGATCGGTGCAGCTGCTGCCATATTGCAAATGCTATGCTGGTCTTTTGTGATGAAGGTGAAGATTCTCAGTCATCCAGGTCATAGTCATTCCAAAAAATTGAATTGAAATTCTTTGAATTAAAAAAACTTGCTGGATGGGAAGCTAAATGTCTTTTAACTTGGAA